GAGACACTGCCCAGGGGTTGATAGACAGGACGCCAGGTGAAGAGGTGAGATATGCAGTTCTGAAGTAGCATCTGGAGACTAGGGGAGATATGCTAGATCTTACCAAATAGTTTGTGTTAAAGAAACTGACTCTCAACCACAAATAAGGTACCTATTTATTTCATCTACAGTGTGCTATTATCACTCGCAGCATGTCTAAATAGAGCTTAAGCTGTCTGAGACAAATATTTAAACATACAGAATTTTTCAGGAAGCTTCAGCCTGGCAATATAACCATGTTTTAGTACTTCATCTTACAGGAGACAGGTTTTGTCACATTAAGACAATCATCAATTTTAAAAAGAAGGTGTTCTTTCTCATATTTTCCTTGTTTACCAGGATAATAGTCAAAACCAGACTGCTTTCATTCTTTCATGTCAGTCCTTGGTAGTGCCTTCAATTTCTCGTAGACAGAGTGTAATTCAAAGCAAATCCTACTGAGTTCTAACAGTGTTAAGGCCACCGTGAACTTAGCAGCAGTACACAACAGAATCAGTGGAATAGAAGAGGAGCTTTAGAATAGAATCATAGAATCATAGAATAGTTAGGGTTGGAAAGGACCTTAAGATCATCAAGTTCCAACCCCCCTGCCATGGGCAGGGACACCTCACTCTAAACCATGTCACCCAAGACCTCATCCAGCCTGGCCTTGAACACTGCTAGGGATGGAGCATTCACAACTTCCCTGGGCAACCCATTCCAGTGCCTCACCACCTTAACAGGAAAGAATTTCTTCCTTATATCCAATCTAAACTTCCCCTGTTTAAGTTTGAACCATTACCCCTTGTCCTATCACTACAGTTCCTAATGAATAGTCCCTCCCCAGCATCCCTATAGGCCCCCTTCAGATACTGGAAGGCTGCTATGAAGTCTCCATGCAGCCTTCTCTTCTCCAGGCTGAACAGCCCCAACTTTCTCAGCTGATCTTCATATGGGAGGTGCTCCAGCCCCCTGATCAGCCTCATGGCCCTACTCTGGACTTGTTCCAACAGTTCCATGTCCTTTTAATGTTGAGGACACCAGAACTGCACACAATACTCCAAGTGAGGTCTCACAAGAGCAGAGGAGAGGGGCAGGATCACCTCCTTTGACCTGATGGTCACACTCCTTTTGATGCACCTCAGCGTACGGTTCCCTTTCTGGGCTGCAAGCGCACACTGAAGCCAGCTCATGTTCATTTTCTCATTGACCAACACCCCCAAGTCCTTCTCGACAGGGCTGCTCTGATTCTCTTCTCTGCCCAGCTGTGCCTGGGATTGCTCTGACTCAGGTGTAGGACCTTGCACTTGGCACAGTTAGATTTCATCATGTTGGCATCAGCCCACCTCACAAGCGTGTCAAGGTCCCTCTGGATGGCATTCCTTCCCTCCAGCGTATCAACCAAACCACACAGCTTGGTGTCATCAGCAAACTGCTGAGGGCGCACTCAATCCCACTGTCCATATCAGCAACAAAGATGTTGAACAGGACCGGTCCCAGCACTGATCCCTGAGGGACACCACTTGTTCCTGGTCTCTAGCTGGACACTGAGCCATTGACCGCAACTCTTTGTGTGCGGCCATCCAGTCAGTTCTTTATCCACCGAGCAGTCTATTCATCAGATTGATGTCTCTCCAATTTAGAGACCAGGATGTCATGTGGGACAGTGTTGAACGCTTTACACAAGTCCAGGTAGATGAAACAATCTTATGAAGTATGACTTGAACACGTTATGTTTACTTTTCGCATCAAATGTAGTCTGAGTACTTGTTGCTATATATATATTTATGTGCCAGTCATTTACAATTGTAAAAATATTCTGTCCTTTACTGTTTAATTCTGAAAGAAAACTTGATGAACCAAAAATGCTGCGTAGTTTTTTGAAAGTCCCTCAATCATTTCTCATTCAACCAGCCAGACTGAATCCTGTTTAATTATTGGACTACTGAAACTGAGATCTTTTTAGTTAGAAAGTGCTTTTGATACGATTCAGTCTCAAAGGAAGCATCACTCTCCAGTCTAATAAACCTGTAGTAACTGCTAAAGTAGGAGACTCGCTCAAGTGGATATAGCCTTATATTCTCAGCTTTCCTTGAGCACCGTAACAAATTTGTTAGAATTTCCCTTTGTTCATATCCTGTAGTCTACTGACAAGGAATCAAACTAGTGAGTGAAATCCTCAGTGTACTGAAAGACAATTGCAAAGCTCTCATGGAGTTCAACAGTGACCGAAGTTTCACGCAGTTCAACAGGCATTTAAACCTCTATGACTGCTTAGAAATTCCTAATAATGATAATTTCTTCACATATTTGAAATTAGCTTAGTTTTCATTGCTCCTTTAACTTGTGTTGTACTTCTTTGGAGAGATCTTTTGAACTACTGTTCAAGATTGAAAAGTTTACACAGATAATGTCTTAAGAGCAGAGGAAATCATTTTATAATTATACTTTTCTGAAAATAGTGTTCTGACAAGTTTCTTGCTCATCCACCTACCCAATTTCGGTGACATTCTGGAGGGTAGACTTTTGAGGTGATATTTATTCTTACACTTTGTTGTTTTTTCTCTTGTGTTAAAACATTGTCAGAGTTAAATTTTCTTCTGTTGAATTTCTTCCTGTGGAGGATATCTTCTTCTCAATCAATCTCATTGACAGTAGATTCCAGGGGAAGCAATTAAAATCCAGTGTGCTGTTGCTTTTTCCTGCAGACTAAAACTGTAGGAGAGTTCCACGATCTTGTCTTAACATGAGGAAGCAAAAAAACAGGGAATTTAAAAGCCTAATGATATCTACAGCAAAGCAGCCTTACAAATTTAACTGTTCCCCTACCTTTTTCTGCTAATTCCCTCAACAAATTTCTGACTTTTATGTACATTCTGCTCTACTTCTTTTCTATGATACAGCTATTTAGATCTGCGTTCTCTACTCTGTGCAAGAAGCTGTGATCAAAAGCTCTTTTTGAATGAAAGTGCCGATGTTTAACTTTTAAAAGGTTAAAGGCTAAAGAATTCAGAGCTGTAGTTGCACAGTTTTTCATATAAGTAAATTTCCTTTATATGACAGCATATTTTTATTTATGGAAAAAACAATAATTTTATTTTTTTAAGGTCAACTACTAGATGCTCTAATCTTAATTTGCTCCTAAAAGCTTTAGTATATTTCATGAAATAGATGTGCCTAATGAGATCTTGCAAGATGCGTTAAGAAATGTAAGATAGATGTCCTTAGCCAAATATATATATATATATATATATATATATATATATATAAAATAAGAATTTTTGGCCAGATTAAAAGATGATTCCTCCATAGTTAAATGGAAGAACACAAGGATTTGGAGAAGGCTGAGGTTCTGAATGACTTCTTAGGCTTAGAATTCCCTGACAAAGGCTCTGACCGCACCAACCAAGACTTAAAAGGCAGACACAGGGACTCTGAGAATGAAGACCATGGGCCCACTGTAGGAGACGATGTGTTTCTAGACCATCTTAAGAGCCTGAACGTCCATGGGTCCTGATGAAATCCATCTGTGGGTCCTGAAGGAGCTGGCAAATGAAGTTGCTCAGCCACTGGCCATCATATTTGAAAAATCATGGCAGTCAGGTGAAGTTTCCCAGCGCCTGGAAAAAGGGAAATATAACCCCCATTTTCAAGAAGGGGAAAATGGATGACCCGGGGAATTACAGACCAGTCAGTCTCACCTCTGTGCCTGGCAAAATTTTGGAGCAGATTCTCCTGGAAAGCATGCTAAGGCCTCTTCATTAGGGACTGTAGTGACAGGACAAGGGGTAATGGGTTCAAACTTAAACAAGGCAAGTTTAGATTGGGTATAAGGAGGAAGTTCTTTACTACAAGGGTGGAGAGGCACTGGAATGGCTTGGCTAGGGAAGATGTGAATGCTCCATCCCTAGCAGTGTTGAAGGCCAGGTTGGACAGAGCCTTGGGTGAAATGGTTTAGAGTGAAGTGACCCTGCCCACGGCAGGGGGGTTGGATCTAGATGATCTTAAGGTCCTTTCCAACCCTAACTATTCTGTGATTCTATATGCATAACATAGCATAGCTTTCTGTTGTATTCTGTTCTGTTCCATTCCAGTCTCTTCTGTTCATTTCCATGCCATTTTATTCTGTTACATTCCCTGCTCTCACAATGAGTTGTACAAGGAGGAGATCCTTACTTATCTGAAATGTCAAGGGAATTTCAGGACCAAAAGCACTTTCAAAGACACAAATCAGAATGGTTACAGGTGGAAAGAGTATTTTATTTATTTCTAAATGAAGTTATTTGATTTAGTTTAGCTTAGTTAATTTTTGTCTGTTTTAGTTTAGAGCCTTCAGTTTAGCTGGAAAAAACGTCCCTTGCAGCCTGACAAAGAAAAGGCAGGGCAGGAGCGGTGCTGTGGTAGTGGGAGAGCAGTGCAAGAAGAACCCAGCAGAAAGGGCCAGGGAAGAGCTGACAAGGGGTGGTGCTCAATGCAACAGAGGACAGCATCAAGTCCCGGGACCTCTCTGGGGCCACCCTGGGAGTCCAGAAGGCTGCCTCCCCCCAGATGCGGGGCACGAGGGCCACCTGCGTGGAGCACGAGCCACTGTCTTTGGGACACCATGACCCAAAGGAGCCTCATGAAGGGGCTGTGCTTGGCTGCAGAGGAAGGCAAAAAAACCCAGGGATGCTTGCTAGTGCAGCCTGGGGGGAAAAAGCCCTTCCCCCTCCCCCCCCCCCCCAGCTGCAGGACACGAGGGGCCACCTTCGTGGAGCATGAACACCAGGCGATAACCAAGCCAGAATGAGCCAAGGAGCTCTGACAAGTGGTCATGCTCAGTGCTCAGAGAAAGGCAAAAAACCCCCGGGGACTGGTGCCAATCTGCTCCTGGGGAAAATTCCTTCCTGACCCCGTGCTGGCGATCGGCTGCTCCCTGAGCACATCAGCAAGACCTGCTCCTGGTCCATGAGCTGGTTCCACCTCTAAGGGGACAAGGGGACACTGGCACTGCCTTTTCTGCTTCCACCCAGAGCCATTTCAGGGGCTTCCAACAAGAGAAAAATGCCATTGGCCTGGTGAATCCTTGGAGCAAGAATCCCTCCTGTGCTTGGCAGTGGGAGCTCGAGAGCACTGGGAGAGGGCACGGAGCCATCTGTGCATTCTTTTTCTTCTGGCTACTGCCACTCTCTCCCCGGGCGATAAGAACAGTGAGCTTCCCGATGACTGAGGCAGGAGCCCTAAATGATGCTTTGAGAGTGGCCCCTCCAGGAGCTGGAACTGCAGCACAGAACCTCCTTCAGCTTTGTGCAGCTCCAGGTGTTCCCTCCTTCAGCCCCCCGACAGGCAATTCCCCAGGGCCCAGCAGATGAGGACGGCGGGTCCCCCGGCAGCTGGAGCAGGATTTCCATCCATCCAGCCAAGGAGATTTGAGCATGGCTCCTCCAGGAGCTGGAACTGCAGCACAGAACCTCCCGCAGCTTCGTGCAGCTTCAAGTGTTCCCCCCACCAGCCCACTCCCCCCTCCCAGTAATCCCCCCGCTGCCCCAAGCACTTCCCCTCGGATGCCCTCAGGCTGCCAGCCCTGCCCTGGTGGCAGTGCCGAGCACTCTGGCAGTGGGACAGGGGATGACGCTGCCTTATACAGCCCCAGAGCACTGTGATGCTGCGTTGCCGGGTGCTGGCACTGTGACACAGGGGTGACAGGGAGCCTACAGCCCTGCCCACCGCAGCCCTGCTGCTGCTGCCCCTTTACCCAGCATCCTTTAGAGAAAAGCCTTTTGGCTGCTGGCCCTGAGGCAGTGCCTGTGCCCAGGAAGCCCAGGGGGATGTCCCTGCCCAGGGTGGCCACACGCTGGGCATCGCTGCGGGGTGTCCCTGTAAATAAATGTGTTTGTTCAGACTGTATCTATAAAGGCTTTTATAGCACGTACAGTCATTTGACTGTGGCGATCCCAAAGGTGAAAGGAAAACGGTTTGGGTTCCCTCTGCATGAACTTTGCAGAAACATAGAGAGCATACGGCATTTCCTCACCATTCCTCATCAATACACCAACTGGCATTTGCGACTGCACTGCTTATGGTGAGGTGTTCTTCTTGGAACGGAGAATCCAAGAAATCTGTCCTGCATTTGTTACACAGAGTAATGTTTGTAGCAGAGGTTGTTTAGAAGTTTGCTTCTGTTTTTTAACATTCAACTTCAAGAAGGAGTTGGGGTTGTTGGTCAATGAGAAAGTGAACATGAGCAGGCTTCAGTGTGCTCTCTCAGCCCAGAAAGCCAACCATATCCTGGGCTGCATCAAAGGGAGTCTGACCAGCAGGTCGAAACAGGTGTCCCAGTTTGGACAAAGCCTTGGGTGACCTGGTTTAATGTGAGGTGTCCCTTCCCATGTCAGGGGGGTTGGAACTAGATGATCTAAGGTCCTTTACAACCCTAGCTGTTCTATGATTCTATAATTATCCTGGGTTTTGTTATTTTTCTTGTATTTTTCCTATTCTGTGTTTCACCAAGCCTATTGCTTTACAACACTATAAGGAAAATAGTCTTAATCATTACTTCTCCTCAGCCCATAGCAGGAAACTGGCTTGGGTAGGATAGCTAGAGTCCTGATGCAGAAGGGCAAAACAGCAGCTTTAAGCAGGGACAAACTTCACAGGAGTAATCTATAAGTTTTGCCCAGGCTTATAAGAACTGTGTCAGAAAAGCTGAAGGTCCACTGGGGTTGAGCAGAAAACCCTAAATAGACCACGCCGTGAGCAGCATTGTCTGACCCAAGAGCTACACTGATTTGAGCAAGTTGTTTGACTAAAGAACTCCTGAGATTGCTTCCAGCTTCATTTATTCCCTTAAGTACTGGAATAGGCCCCGGGCTGCAGTATTTTGACCAGACTGATTATATTTACCTACTTCTGGCATCCGCTGTCCATAATTTGGTGTCACTGAGTCAGAGCAGTTGTTCACCTACCTCTCTGTAGTACCAACAGAAAAATTGGAGCTATCTGTATGATGCAGAAAAATAAAAAACTTTCAATACTATTTTACAAGATGACAGTTAAGAGACTCAAAGACATTTCAAGTAAACAAAATTAAAAATCAATCTAGGTATTGTTCTGATATCTTTTCAATGTAGTTTCCTCTCTTGAAATGTCTATTTTGTTTTCTTTCAGCAAAACTAATTTTGAAATGCACATCCAGCATCATCAGTGTAAAATAATATAAGTCAAAATGTATTATATCCTCTCTGAATAAAAAATCTCCCACTGGGACTTTGTTTCATTAGTTTCATTTGTTTCATATAGCCAGGTTGATCCAGCTTCATCTTGTAACAGGATCATACATCTCATATATATTAATAGAGAAAGCTAAACTGTTCAGAATTTTTTTTTTTTTTTACATAGTGATAGTAAGTGCTCTCTTAAAACAGTTATTTCTATTCATCTGATCTGTAACTTATTAACTCTTATATTTCTTTTCTCTCAATTTTCTTGAAGAAGAGGAAAAAAGTATGTCTTTCTTTGTCTTCTGTTTTTGCTCTTTGTATTGTTATCTTCCTCTTCTGCTTCCTTATATTATTTCTACTACGTCGCTTTTTCCCAGCTCCTTGTCCTTGTCTCTTAAAAAAAATAAATCATTCTATATATCCACTTTTTACACTTACTTCCTTTGCAGTGCAGGTACCATGGTTATCTGAGGACAAGCATAGAAACTGTACATAAAAAATGATTAGTAAAGTTATGAAATGGTAAAGCAGAGATGGTGTGTTAAGTATGTTGTTTGGGTTGAAACTGAATGATCATTTTTATTTAAAAACTTCGCAAACCTAGTTGTTCCATTAAAAAATTTAAGATGTAGCCGTCCATAACTAATGGATAACTAACATCTTTGTGTCTTCCACCACAGAAGTATTGATGTTTCAAAAGAAACTGGAATAACTCAGTGTTAGAGAGGTGTGAAATACCATGTCATAAGCAAGATAATTTTAATTTCATAGGCACATTCTCCAGTAAAAGATGATACTAGATGACTGTATGCCAATGCAGTCACTGACACTGAGTGTCTCTTTTAAGCGTATAATGCTTCTTTCTCTTACAAGTATACATAGTGCATACTGCACCAAGGATCACAGCGGGGAGTCTTCATCGAAGAATCCATTGAAAGCTCAAAGAAGTTTCAACCATATGTGGGTCAAGTGTTTCATTTTCTTCAGCTGCAGCTCTTTCCATCTTCGCTGTATGCCTAACTGTTCTTGTAAACGTAATAGGTCTTCATTTTCCAGTTTTATTTCCGAATTGATTTGGACTTCACATTTGCAAATGCATTCACTAGCATCAGGCTTGCATCTGCAATAAAATTCCTCTCTCAGCTCAAAAATAACTTTTTTGCTAAACTATACATTATTTTATTCCTTTTAGCATGATGGAAATTTAGATATTCCCAGGTTCTCTCTAGGCTCCTGCTTTTATTAAAGATATAAAGCCCCTCATGTTAGGTATATAAAAATATATTACTCCACCAGGACTACAAGCACACATGCTCCTGTGAGTTGGAAGGTAATATAGATAATGGTGTCAGGTTTGACATTTTGAAGATGGATGAATTCTTGAATGGGTGAAGCAATAAACACATGAAGCAGAATCATTGACCTAGAAATGATTCACTGTACCCCCATATTTAAATGTTCCAAATATGAGAGTTGTTACATGGTTTATGCTTAAAGTAATTTCTGGATTCTTGCTATGATATAAAGTCATCTGTATCTGATAGCCATTTGAAGGCCAGGTAAATGTAAATACCTCAAATGTACTAATATTCCTGCCATTATAATATGAAAGTAAAAGGCTCTTGCGATCATTTTATTATTCATTAAATGGTGGGGAATTATGATAATGATTATTATTAGAAGCTGATAAAATCCTATGCAGTGTCACTGTTAGCAACAGTGAAAATTAACATTTCTAGTCATGCATAAATTAAAAGACAGCTTCATTCTGTAGAATTTCTTTTTCTCATAGCTATGTTGCAGTTCTTTTTTCTAGTCTGAGCCTTTCCTCATATGACAGGTTTCCCCATCTTTTCATCATCTTTGTGGCCCTTCTCTGGACCCTCTCAAGGTTGTCCACAAAGAGTTTTGACTACCAGTTTGAATTAAGGAGCGAAATGATACACAGTGTGGCCGCTGAAGTTATACAACTACCAGAAACTTAAAATCATGTTGTATTACACAGAAAATAGATACATGAAAGAAAACCAGGCCATCAAAAAAATAAATTAAAATTCTGAATATTTCTGTCTCATTCATATCTCAGACCAATATCAGGAGAGTTTGGATTAACCGTCACTTTTGAGAAGAACAGGAATTCAAATCCTTTAAATCAGCAAGGAAAAGGGAACTCAGGAAAAATTAGCAAGACATTCTGAAGCACAATGCTATTTTGCTTCTTTTAATAGCATTATTATATAGATGTTGAAAGAAGCAGCAGCTTCTGTGATTCCTTACACTGGCATGTAGACTGTTGTACCTGTGACATAGTAAATATCTTCATAATTTCTTATCTGCTCAGTTGTCTGTAGTAACATCAAGAGGAGCTGCCCCTGCTCATTAGCACCAATCAATCAGATCTGCATTTGACAATATGCCTTTTTATCATTTATTTTTTCCTCAATGTGTTATCACTGTAGTAACAAGTGTGCTAGTGTTCAAGCCCATATCCTTCCCCCAGTAGAAAAACGTCTTTTTCATAATTTGTTAAATTTATATTATTTTGTGTCTCTTTTGAAGTTACTGTAATTGCATTTTGAAATGCAATTATTTGGGAGAAACACATTCAGATCAAATGGATATTATATGGAATAATTTATATAAGGTTTCACTGACATAGTACATTATTGAGTTTTTGCTATGTTAAAAATGCTAAGCTTATTTAACAAAATGATGATATGTACTTTACATATAGAACAGAAGGTTCTCATCCATGACATCTTACTGGGACACAAAGTCAAATCTTATTCATATTGACCTTTTCATAAACTCTAATTTTGCTAAGTCCAACAAGACCAGAACTATCTTGATATATTCTTGTTCACATTTGTTTTATTTAAATAGCTTGTAATAATTTTCTACTTTCTTCAACCCTACATCAAACTTTTGCTATTCAAGAAAACAGGCTTTGAGACGATTACAAGCACTCTCAAAAATATTTTGAACAGTCCAGGGATTATCAAAGAAGATATATTCCATCTTTTGGATAGAAGATATTTCATCACAAGTCTTCTATCTCAACATCACTTAATGACAAGCAGTCACATTCTGAAGTTATTTATGGCTCTGGTTATGTCCATGCACAAGTGTGAAATCTGGAAAAAAAATATCTAGTTTTGACTGCAGGTTCCTGGCCTATTTATTTTTACACCAAATAATGAATTCGTGTTATATCTATGCAACACTGGCATTAAGTATCTCTTCTGAGAACCACGGACAGTTTTTATCATTTGCATTTACTGATTCATAGCTAAAGAGGTTGAGATTAGAAACAAGCACTGGGGAGCAAACCTCAGAAAAGAGAATACCTGGCTGGCACAGCACCTCAGGCCAGACGACCTTCTGCTCTCCCTTCCCACCTACATTTTTCCTTGCTTTTAAGAAAATGTTTTTATTTTCTATGAAATGTTT